AAATATCTATAGTGCGTGCCTACCGGGAATTTACGAGGGTGAGATAACGCACCACTATTCTAAATATACAGTAGGTAGAAGAAAAAGAGAAATAGAAGAGGACAAAAAAGAGAGGAAAAAAGAAATGGTTAAGGAAATTAAAATTTGTTGGATTTGTTGACGATCTGTATCCAATTTCGAAGACCCGTTTCGATGGCTTCATTCATGTTAATATTATTCCATTATAAACATAATGCAATTTTAAAATTGGATTAAAATCTATCTCTTTCCATACCCCACCTTGAAGAAGAAGAAGGGGAGAAATTGATTTGACTTCCTTCTACTACTCGTATAAGATTTCTTATGTGTATAATCGGGTGTTTATTGAATTTTTAAACCGTACAAATGCTACAACAACTTATTTTATATAACTAAATTCCAAGTAAAAAATCATCCCTCAAAGAATATCTAAAATTTCCTAGAAAAATTTCTTTTGGTTTTTAACAAAAAAACAATTTCAAGAATTAAGGTCGTTTCCCAAAAAAATTGACCAAAAGCATGTTTCTTTTCATTGATCACGTCCGGATTGAGGGTGAATGGTCAAAATACAACCACCCCGAAGAAATAGAAAGAAAAAAAAAGGTTTATTTTAAGAGGACCTGTCGGCGTCTCTTACTACTACTACAATAACGTTGTCGCCGATTTGAAAAGTATTATAGCCCGGAAAACACGCTTCGGAGGCTCTTTATGTAGTGGGAGGGCGAAAAATCGGGCGCCAAACCACCCCTTATATTCTTCTTAAGAGCGTCCTTCTCTTTGTCTCTTCTTCACTTATCCAAACCCATAAAAGAAACCCCCCGACCAGTCGGCACCAATTTTGACATCTGATTTATTATTTAAATCCCAATAGTATAAGATTTCACGGTAAAAGTAGACGAAAATGTAAGACTTCTTATACTAAACAACCCCTTATTTTTAAATTAGGATAAAATTACAAATTTAAATAATAATAAGATTTAAAATAAAAAACAACCTGTACATTATTTGTTTTTAATTTCAAAATATATTTTCGCTATTATCGACTTGGACATATTTAAGTTTTAAAAGTTGCGTGCAATAAATTGGCGTTCGAGAACGTTTCACTCGATTCCCTCTTTGCCCCTTGGTGTTCTTTCTCTTCTGGTCTTTTGCAAAATTAACCTCCGATAAATATCCGAAGCGTACACGGTCGAAGCGTTGCTTCTTGGTTGCATGCAACTTGTAGCAGCAGCGGCAGCAGGAACGAAATAGCTGTGTTAATTGCCGACACACTGCTGCACAGTTTTATTCCATCTGCCAGAGTTGCACGGTTCGTTTTTAGGTTAAAAAGAAAAAGAAAACGAGCTGAAAAAAAAAGTTGTAATAAGGGCGCGAAAGTGGAACTGAAATCACGAGATCGTTCTTTTTTTTTTGTCGAAGGATTTTAATTTAAATAAGTTGAAATAAAAAATAATGGATTTTTTTTCACGAAACCGTGACTGAAATTGGGGCTTTTGCTTTTCGATTTTTTCGGTTGCGTCGAGGGATGTAATAATAAAATTTTTGCCTTTAGGCGAGGATACGCAATTATTATAATTTCTTTTCGGGTTTACATTTAAAATAAAAAAAAATCAGTTTTGTTTGATATTAATGAGTACAGATTTTTTTGTGAAGAATTTTTTACAGGTTTAGTTAAATTTTCCTTCTAGAAAGTTTCCTTAATCATTATCTTATCCACAATTTCAAATCGATTTAACTTTAAAATTAATCGTTATTAATTAATCGACCATAATATTTAGTTAAGTTAATAATAAAAACAAGTTTGCTGATCCCTAATCTAAATAATGACCATAATCCCAGTATTTAAATCACATTTAACCAAAATAGTTAGATTAGATTCTACAAACAATGGTAATCAACGCTTAATCTGGCGTTAATCGAGGGTTAACTGATTAATTTTCGAACAGCATCACTTTAATTAAGTTTATTCATGAATTATATATATTAATTAGTGGTCCAGGTTAATTTTAACCAGACATTACTCGATGGAAGGACTCTAATTTTTGAACAGAATTGGTAACCAAATAATGACGTTTATTAATGTTTTCTAATTATTAACAAATCAGCTGATGATGATTTTAATAATCCGAAATCGGTACCGAAAATAATAATTATTAGAATCATTTCAAATTAGGAATCAATTTATTTTAAACATCTACTTTGCGTAAATAATTGGTGTGATTATGCACAATTATTAAAATTAGAGTCGAAGAACTTAAAGATTGAAATTATAAGAACAAAACATTTTTGTTTCCTAACTTATAACCTTTGGCGAAGACCACGGAGTACATTATAAAAGTTTCTATGGCTCCTTGGCCTTAGCCCAAATACCAAAGAAAATGTCTTACATTTAGATTTATAACGAAAATACGACACTCTGAAACCTGTTCATATCATCAGAAATGAAAAATTATATGATTGTGAGATCATACAATGTATTTTAATCAATTTTGTGCAATGGTATTGAAAATAAGTGCTATGAGCTGTTTCAAAAAACGTGTGCATCACGTTTCTAGCAGTATCCTATATGACTAAATATCACGAGTCTTCTTTGAACACCACTATAAAAGGTAGTACAACCCTAATCTTGTTCAGAACACCTAACAAGCAAAACCTGATAATTTTGCTTCGTCATGGTGAACTTGAAATATAAATCAAGTATTCCCTGTCAAAAAGCAAGTATCGTAGTTTAAGAAAAATCTTGTATATTAGGATGTTGTTAGATAAAAACTCTTTTAAAACAGTTATAGTTTAGTATTGTGCCAATAGTATGATGCAGCGTCTCGGCCTCAAGCGACTTCGGCTTAATTACTCTAGGTCATGAATTTCCTGCAAGAAAACGTAACGTACTTCAGAGAATATCCTTTTATATTACAAGGTTGAAAGATAAAAATAATCAAATCGTTTAAAACTGTTTGGTTTTGGTGTCGATTACATAATGTAGCGCCTCGGTCATAAGTGACATCGGGTTAAACAGGTTGAATGAATACATTTCCCTAAAACGGGCAGTAAATCTTCTGAACTCTAATGAAGAATTATTTATATTACAATGCTGTCACATAAAAAGTCAAACATTCTGGAAAACTGTACGGTTTTAGTATCGAAAAGTTCTAGATGTACCGCCTCGACCGCAAGCAACCTCGGTTTAATTATTATAAATCATCTTTTTCTGTTCTAAACACATCTTTTCAGTTTTGGTATCGATTCCATGATAAACTGCCTTAGTCTACAAGCAATCTTCGCTTAATCAACCTTCATCCTGCGGCTACTTTCCTAAAACTAGAAGTAAATATAAAAAACTAAACGAAGAATAATTTTTATTAGAGTAGTGTCACGTAAAAAGCCATACTTCTGAAAATTTGTACGGTTAGTTCAAGATGTAGCGCCTCGGCCGCAAGCGACCTCGGCTTAATAAATCTAAATCATTTATTTTTTGTTCTAAACAAATCTTTTAACGTTATTCAGCTTTGGTATTGATTCCATGATGGACTGCCTCGGTCGCAAGCGGCCTCAGCTTAATCATCCTCAATTCTGCATTTACTTTCCTAAAACATGAAGTAAACGTACAACGCTTTAATAAAGAATGATTTTTATTAGAATGCTGTCACATAAAAAGGAATACATTCTGGAGAACTACGGTTTTAGTGCCGATAAGTTCTAGATGTAGCGCCTCAGCCGCAAGCAACTTCGGCTTAATAAATCTAAATCATTTATTTTTTGTTCTAAACAAATCTTTTAACATTATTCAGCTTTCGTATCGATTCCATGATGGACTGCCTCGGTCGCAAGCGGCCTTGGTTTAATCATCTTCAATTCTGCATCTACTTTCCAAAAACTTGAAGTAAACACTACAACACTTTAATAAAGAATGATTTTTATTAGAATGCTTTCACATAAAAAATCATACATTCTGGAGAACTACGGTTTTAGTGCCGATAAGTTCTAGATGTAGCGCCTCGGCCGCAAGCGACCTCGGCTTAACTACTCTAAATCATCTATTTCATGTTCTAAACACATCTTTTAAAGTTGTTCACTTTCGATATCAATTCTACGAAGATTCGCCTCGGCCGCAAGCGACCTCGGCTTAATTAGGCTAAATTGTGCATTTACTCTGCAAGAAACGTGAAGTAAACATAGAAAACTTTAACTCTGTCACGTATAAAGCCATATTTCTGGAAATCTGTACTGTTAGTTCAAGATGTAGCGCCTCGATCGCAACCGACCTCGACTTAATAATCCTAAATCATTTATTTTCTGTTCTAAACACATCTTTTAACGTTATTCAGCCTCGGCTTAATCATCCTCAATTCTGCATCTACTTCCCAAAAACTTGAAGTAAACATACGAAACTTTAATGAAGAATAATTCTGGAAATCTACGATTTTAGTATCAATAAGTTCTAGATGTAGCCCCTCGGGCGAAAGTGACCTCGGCTTAAATACTCCAAATAAAAAAAAAGTTCAATTCTACATCTGCTTTTCTAAAGCTTGTAATAAGCGTAGAGAACTTTAATGAAATCTTTTTTAATATAATATTGTCAAAAAAAAAAGATTTTTAAATATTTCTTAATTAAATTGTGATTATTTATACTCAAACTTTGGTTCTAATTGCAAAATAATTTTTTCGTGATCTTTAAAAAAATTAGTAGTTTAAAATTTTGTTGTGGTAGGTTAAGAAGAATCTTGTTTTGTTTTTAAACACATGGCTTCTTCTGGATTTCCTTCAAGGCCCTTTTCTGGTTCAGTAGGACCCCCTCCTTGATATAAACACTTCCATGTAAACACCCTACGAAAGAAAAAGAAAATAGGGATCAAGGTCAAAAAGATCTAAACAAAGTCTCTTAACAAATGTAAACAAATTTGATGAAACCACACAAAATTTGTAAATTTTTTTTTGGTCTTAATTCTTTTTGTGTTAACGATTTTTTTTTGATTTTGTTTCAGGCACAAGGTAGCGATGAAGATGATAGTAACGAACATGAACATGGCGACGTTTTGGCTAAACTTAAAATGCAAGTTCGTGATATTAAAGTTGCTGTAAGTAAATAAATTTTTTGTAATCGTTTTTATGATGAAATAAACACTTAAATTGTTTTAAAAAAATAAATAAAAATGGAAATTATTTATCTTACAAGAAAGAAATAACAAGAAACTTGTAAAAAACACTTATATCAACACATAACATTTTTTTAAACTTCAATAAAACGAATATATTTAGAAAAAAACTTAAAAAAAAAAAAACTTAAAAATTTTTACACAGAAGATTTTTATTTTCAATTTAATTTTCTTCTATGTTTTTATGTTGTATTTCTTTATTTCTAGGAGGATTTTGAAGGGAACCGACAACAATATCCTTTACCGTGTAGCAGAGAAACGTTTAATTTTCAAATGGCACCTCATTTATCGATGATGCCGCAACCGCAATACTTGGTCCCACAAGCGGCACATCAAAACAATCCTGGCCCCAGTTCCAGCAGTCCCCATTCTTCAGAAGGGAGCAGTTCCTCGAATAACAACAGTTGGTCTTTTGAGGAACAATTCAAACAGGTCAGGATTTTACTCATTTTTTTCTTTTGCTTGTTTTTATGCTTTCATTATTATTAAACATTTTTATTTTCATCTTTTTTCCGTTTGGTAAATTTGGTAAAAATGCTTGATCTACAACAATTATTATTTTTTGCTTGATTCCTATTAACCCACTGATATTTTATTTAATTTCTCTTTTTTTAATTAATCATCAGCATGCGTATTAAAAATACACAAAAGTATAACTTAAAACAGAATAATTAATGCTTTTTTTCTGTTTTAATAGCTTTTCTTTGTTTTAGCTTTAAATGTTTTTTTTTTCATTTGAACATGAATCTTTTTTTCATTTTGGACAGGTTTTTGGATTTATTATAAAAAGTGATTATTTTTCAATTGATTTTTTTAATTACATTTGTCTTCTTCGGAGAGTTATTAAACAAAAAAAAATGAAAACGGAAACCATAAAAGTTGGTGTTTTATAACAAGAAATAATCATCACCTTTCGTATCAAAAAATCTCGTAAAGAAATGATTTTTATGGCCCACAAAAGTCTCTTTCTCGCTCTCGAAAATAAAGAAACGAAGAAATGTTTTCAAAAAAACTGCAACATAGTTGCAATTTATTCAAATGTGGTGGCACCTTTTTAAAGAATAATAATAAATTAATTGAGGAGGCAATTTTCGGATCGTAAAACTGTAACGTTTATATCGAAATCGACGCCGTAAGCTCGGAACAAAAAGGGGATTGAGTTTTTTTTCGGTCGTTTTTCGGGTATTTTACTTTGTCGGTCGCCAAAACGACAAATCAACGAATTTATAAGTATTTTGACAAGTCTCGACCTGCGATAAATTTTTACCCGTAGACTAAACCCCTTTTTAAGAGTCTTTAACTTTTTTAAATCCTTTTCTTTAAACTTAAAATAAAACACTCTTTATTTTAATTTTAAACCTTTCGTTTTTAAAATTTTTATTAAAAAAATTTACGATCTCTAAAATTATATTAAAAATAATAAGAACCTTAATTTAGTTTTGTGCGCATGCTCTTAAGATTTTTATAGCGCATAATTTCTTTTTAGAGACCAAAACTATGTTCGTAAACCGAAAACCCTTTATAACAACGAAGTCTGTAAACTTTCCGTCTTTCTTCAACCAAAACATGAAGGATACTCTCTTTTTCACGTTTTTAAGGGGGGACGTTTTTGTCTGGATGTGTGTATCCTATTTTTTTTTTAATTTTTATTATTATTTTTTTAATTCGTTTTCCGAACGAGAACTCTCGGGCGATTGTGATTTTTTCTCGGTAGAGTATTATAATTCGGGCTTCGGTCCGACTGTGTGATGCGGTTCGACTTTTACGAGTTTTCAGTTCGGTGATTTACGATTATTAAGAATTAAAACTTTGGAAGGAAGGGGTTTATTATTGTTATTTGGAAGCGTTATTTTTTTTTTTTTCCTTTTGAAGTCGATGTGTGTTGGGCGAACTCCTTTATTTTGACTTCTTTTAATTTTCAAGGATTTTAATTTCAACTTAAGTTGATTTTATTTTTAATTTACTTAAATGCATAAGGCATAAAGAAGTGCATAAAGTTTTGAGATATCTTAAATAGGTATTAGTATTCACCTGCTAGTTTATTTAGACACATTGAAAAGGATTGGGGTAGAGTTACAAGATGAAACTTTGATTCAGATAGAAACCATAGATACCTATAGATAAATAATATTAATCAAAAGAAGATTGTAATGCAAAGCTCAAGATTGTTCCAAATGGCAAGATATGGTTCAAAACCAATAAAAACGCCCTCTGTTAAGATCTATTGCTACTAACATTAACGTAATTAGTAATAAAAAACTGATTTAATTTTCAATGTTACCATCTTGGAATGCTACTACAATATTATTGGAGTGTTAACCAAACTGAGGGGCTGTAAACATCGCGTAAACATTCTTTGGTATGTTCAAATTTGCGCGCGGCAAAATTATGTCCTGCATGTTGCTCACAATGTTTGAACACACCCTAAAGGCGTTGGTACAATGAATACTACTAAACTTTGTAATCTTCCTTCTTCTTGTGGTTTCCCACCAAAAATAATACAATCTATTAGGGATAATAATTGCCTTGCTATCGTGTTTATTAACCTGGTGGGGTGTCAGATCGGTCTCATCTTGAGTTACTAATTTCTATTACTAATTCATATTTGGCGGTTTACAATCTTGAGCCTTCAAAACCGATTACTAAACCGAGAGGAGTGCTAATTTTTTTTAAAACTCTTTCAAGTTTTCTCGTGGGATCTACTTATTGATAATGGCGTGACCTTTAATGAAAGTGGTGATTAAACCAGAACATAGAGTAGGATTTGTGATGGATGTATTAGATGGTTTAACGATATCATGGATAATCTTAAACTGGATATGATTTGGCATGTGTTTTCTGCAATCGTTATAAAACAAATAAGCTTATTGTTTCATAGTTAGAACCCTGTGGCGAAACTTAAGGTTGGTATGATCTCTATTGGCACATCTACCAATAAACTACAGTGCCTTTTGGACAGTTATCTTCCGAATATTTGAAACTGCAGAGGTTTTACGCAGAAATTAAGATCTAATGGGACTGACATAATTATGTTCAAGGTTGCGTCAGTGGCGATTAAAGCTATTGTAGGAATTATAGATGTTTCATAAGTTTTCTTCCAACCTCATTCAAAGTATTTGAAAAATTTATGTAAATTCAGATTGCCGATCACGTCGAGCTTCATGGTATGCTTTTTGAAAATAGGATTTTATTGTTGCGTTGTAAGTAACTGTATAATCCTTATAAAAGACATGAATTATTGTTACTTTTGATAGTGTCTTATGATCCTATGATAATCTGTTTTGGAAATATCTCTCAGCTCATCGTCTTACAATTCTGACAGTGTAACTCTCCTTTGGTCATATATGTTGAATATGGTACAATAGGTGATTATTAATTACAAGCGGTACCTCTCAGAGTCCTATTTTGAGACTATTCCTATTTGGTCTTCTCCTTAATGATTTTTCAGATTAGGTACTTTAGCAGTGACGAAAGTTTTGTAATATTTGAATGATCCTTAGTTACAGATAAAGAGCTAGGTTTGCAATACCTCAATGTCCTCTCTAATTAAATTGGTAGCTCCAACGAATGAATGGTGTCAGATGATATATTTACATAGTTTCATGTAAAGTGAGTAAAATACTGTAAAGTCATCTATATGTTGGTGTTTTATCTTTCAACAAATTATCATGGAAAATTAGATCATCATAAAAAAATAATATATATGTTGTGTATATGATAATATATGATATCTGTTATAAATAATAACAAATTTGCAGCAAGGAAGAAAAGCAGAACCAAAGTTGTACTCTGTAGTTTTGGAGAGTAACAGGAGTCAAAAATAGAGACAATGATAAAATAAAAGTTGATGCTTCCTTAAAATACCTAAAAATGTACTTAAAACCATTTCCTTTAGAGTTATCTATGGACAAAGAAAAGGAAATTATTATTGCTGCCGGTCTAATGGATAGATCTATTGTAATTGAAGCCCTCCAAAGATTTAGGGCAAATCTATGTCTTTGATGAACCTTGGTATTGCTCCAAGGTCTTGTTCCTTTAGGTCAATAGGTGTCAGGCAAGTCATTCCGAAAATTTTGTGTTTTAGGCGGCGCATTCACACAGAATATGTTCAGTGATCTCTGACTTTTCATTGCAAAATCGACAAGCTTAATTCTCAGCTTGTCCAATGTAAAGTAGATGTCATTTTAGGGACGTATGATCGGTCATGAAACCTGAGAGCGACTTTAGGTTCCTCTGTAGTTTTCTTTTGCGATGAAGTTATCATACTCTTCGTCTATCTGTGTCCTGGAATTCCTTTCTAGCACAAAGCTACTTTTGAATCCTCCCACGTGCTAATTACCTGTTTTAAATGGTCTTTTCGTAGTCCACAGCCAAGAAAAAGTAATAGCTGACTTCTTAGGTAAACCAATCTAGTTAAATTTTTCACTACAATATAAGTACGAAGGCTTCACTACAAATTTGAATTATGGAAGATACTTGATCTAAATTTGGCAAATTCCTACAAAAACAATCAAAAAGCTAAAGAAATGAATGAAAACAATGATCAGGGAAAGATAAAATTGAATTTATGAAAAATTTTGGCTTCAGCAGTTTAATTAGAACAAATTGTATGATTTTTTTGTTTGCTTCTGAAATAAGCTTTCTGCTACCTTAGAAATAAGGAAGTATTTGCATTGTATGACTGGATTTTCTAATACAAAATGGTGCATTTGTATTCTTCTTCTTCTCCTGATCCTTATGCTTGATAGCGTCGGATAAATCTTTTCCTATTCCTTCATCCACTTCTTCCACTCCCTCCGGTTCCTGGCTAATTCCTTTATATCTGCTAGAGTCTTCCTTCTCTTCTTCCTCTCCTTTTCTTATCCTTATTTTTTGCTTCAAATACTTATTTTACTATTGTGTTATGTTCCATTCTAATTTTTTGCTGATTATCTCCTCTTGATCTACTCCCAGTTTTATTTCCTCATTCCTTATCCTATCCCACTTCGTCTTCAACACTATTTTCCGTCTTGGGGTGCCCATGATTCACTGGCATATGTTAATATTGGGACTGCCACCGAGTTGTACACTTTCAATTTATATAAACAAATATATATAAGCAAACCTTATCCTTCAGGTCATCTCTGCTCGTATGACGATTAGGTAAATATCTTGATTTCATTACCCTTTTCAATGTAAAGGGTAATGAAGGGTATTGAAATAACACAATTTTCTTTGGAATATCAATGCGTTCTCATCATCGCTTGATCAGATTAAAATTGATTTTAGCTTCTTACAGTAACAATAACTGTTTTTGAAGCATGTCGTTCTGTGAAGATTAAGCTGTTCTTGAATTACAAGATATTGCTATCGAAAATATGGTTTTACATCATCGGGGTGCTTTATTTTGTCCTCCACGAAGTAATTACCCAGCTTATCAGTTAAATAAGCTAATGTTTTTAAATGTTTGTCTGCATCAAGATTTTATATCACTTTATGTTTCTTATCCAGCAATATTTGTGCTTATTACAAGCGTGATTCCTAAACTTAGTCTCATTTCATTTTGAAATTTAAAATGTGATATCAGAAGCCTAATTTCCAGAACTCTGGACGCAATAGGATACGGAAGTAATAATAGCCTGTTATTGACTTTTGAGCTTTATGTTTTGTTGTTATATTTTGAATCCTTTATCATTTGCATGATTTTGTTACTTTACTGGTTCGTTTGTTACGAAAATGCAACAAGTCTAATAAGAAACTTATCTGGAAAGCAGAATTAAAAATATAGAATTGACATTTGCATTTTGGAAATAAGCTATAATTTATATTTACATCTCATAATAATTTAATCACAACCAATTATTTTAAATAACGTTATGTTATACCTTCTCCTTTTTAGATTATAATTTCAATTCAATTAATATATTGTGCGTTTTAATATCTTTAAATTTATCTTGTATTTATTTTTATATTAAATTCTGAAAAAAAAAATCAGAAATCTTCATAATAAAAGAAGAGTTGCGTTACAAAATCACTTTCTACAGTGTCTTGAGAATGAGTAATAGGATTGAAAGTCGAATATAATCTGGCACCTCTACTACCTTACCTCTACCCTTCTTTTCTTTCTTTATTTCCGTCTGTGTCTCGAACTTGGTGGGCGTCATTATATTTTAATATCAAGACCCAACAACCGCCCGCCACCTTCGCGCAACAAATAAATCAGTTAAATTCTCTCGGTGTCGCGTTATGATGCATAAAGAGTAGCTCGAGAAGAAGACGAAGAGAACGGCGTTTTTGGTATACGGAATACGTTTTATACTTCTCTCTTTCTCTATCTCATTTCGTTTTATATGGTAGTTTATACCAAACACCACATCTGCGAGGAGACGCTTTCCTTACAGATTTATGAAACGTTTTCACATTAAGACGGTATTTATCGTCTTACAGGGGCGTATTTATAAATACTATTTTGTATTTTACGTATTATAATGTATTATTTTTTTTTATTTCTTCATTTTTGAACACTTTTTCTCTGTTTGTTAGTTTCTCTTATTTTCGATCAAGTGTTGTTGTTGATTGTTATTTGGTAACTTTTCTTTTTTATTATAATTCACATTAAATTATTTAAATGGAAAGAAAATAAAACCGGTTGGTTAATGAGGAATAATGAGATGAGAATAAAACTGTTTATTGTTTATGTTTTGTTTGGAGTTATTTTGTTTTTTTTTATGAATTTGTTGTTTATGGAAAATCTTTGTGTGTGGGATTTAGGTGAACGGTTTTTTGCCAAAACAGCAGCAACAACAACGTTTGGACGACAGAATTAATTCGATTCTTGACAACTTGGACGGTTCCGAAATGGCCGACGTTGAATATTCAAGTCCGATACCTAAAACCCCGAAAAGAAAACGTAAGAAAACCGAGATCAATGAGTTCAAAGAAATGAAACAGGTAAATTTAATAAAAAGCAAAGATTTTTTTGTTAACTATAGAGGAAAAGTAGAAAAGTCTTTTTAAAGAAAATAGAGGGTGGGCGGAAGAAAACGTTAGGGTATCAATCAGAAACGTCAAGAGAAGAGATTATTTAAGGGGAGACGGAATCTGCGCCGTCTTATACTTGTACTAAACGTTTTCTCGCGCCGAGAACCCATATTAGCTCGAAACCGGCCGGTTTTAATGTGTTTTAATTACCTATAGGTGTGTTCTTTGACGCGAAAATACCCTCGCAAAGGGAAAATTACCATGCATTGTTTCAAACGATTATTCCTTAGCTTGTAATTATTCTTCAAAAAAGTCTAAAAATACTCAGTTTAGATTTAAAATCTAAACAAAACCATGAAAAGATTTGTTTACTAAGTGCAAACCTAAATTATATATTAAATTTATAGGGTTATTTTAAAACGTATTTGTAAATATTACGATAAATTAGGAAAACGAACTGAATTTAGGGACTAAATTTAGAAAAGGTAATAATTTTTATTTTTGGGGTGATTTAGTGAAAAGCGTAAAGAGAGGAGGAATAATAAATCGATGTTAGAGGAGTTCGCTACTAATAAAGACGAACGAAAGTGGATGCACATCATCCAACACTACCACCACCACCCTACCTACTACACTTTTTCCATCTAAAATTAACCTCTAACCCCCCGAATACATGGAAGATTATGAGATCAAGCCAGCTGGCGGGCACATTTGCTAAAACGAAAACCGCCGCAGTAATAGGGAGAGAATTAGTAACGCGCGGGCGCAATCAATCCCCAAAAACCCACACTTCATTCCCCCAAAAAAAAAAATCTAAACCCGAAAAAACGGTTTGTTTGTAAGAAAAGTCGTAAAAACTTAAAAATCTTAATATCCCGTATAGATCAAAAGAAGTAAAACTTTTATAGATCCGCTTATCAAAGCTAAAAATGAACGCAACTTTTCGTTTTCTTTTTTTTTCTTTCGACTTTTTTTATTTTTCGAAAGATATAAAGAGATAGAAGAGGAAGGCGTAAAATCTTCAATCGTGGCTCGTTTTCGCACTCGGTCATCAATCACCGCGGCCCCGATGGAGAGAAATCAAATAAACACGAGCGTAAAACGGCGGCAAACAACCGCCACCCCCTCTGCTTGATCAACTTTGATCTCGTCACTAAACGCGCACAGTCTCTCTTCGTATACGAAAACGAGGTCCGAAGCGGACCGGAAAACCAAAACAATAGGTCTCGTTACACAAAGAGACAACGGTTGTAAATCAATTTTCAGATTACCCCGGAAATTATTACAAGTGGACATTTTACTTTTACACAAAAAAAAAATACGTTATAGCCAAAAGTATATACAATAATCTAAAACTAACACTAGCATTAGAAGTAACACTACACCTAGAACTAAGACTATACCTAGAACTAACACTATACCTAGAACTAGAAACATTCGGATTTAGCCGTCTTAAGAGACGTGCGGCTAAACCCGAATGTCTCTAGTTCTAGGTCTAGTATTAGTTCTAATTTTACACTGTCATTGTTAACACTATACCTAGAACTAGAATCATTTGGGTTTAGCCGCACGTCTCTAAAGACGGCTAAACCCGATTGATTCTAGTTCTAAGTATAGTGTTAGTTCTAGTTTTACACTTGCACTGTCACTAGGACTAACATTAGACTTAGAACTAGAAACATTTGGGTTTAGCCGCACGTCTTTAAAGACGGCTAAACCCGAATGATTCTAGTTCTAGGTTTAGTACTAGTTCTTATGCTAGTGTTAGTTGGCGTTTACTAAGGTTTACTTAGGTTGCTAGAGTTAGTTTTACATCTTCAGACGCACGGCAAAACCCGAAACTTTCTAGTTTTAGGTTTAGTGCTAGTTCTTATCTAATGTTAATTGGGGTTTACTAGAGTTTACTTAGGTTGCTAGTGTTATCTGAAGATGCACGGCTAAACCCGACACTTTCTAGTTCTAGGTGTAGTTTTATTTCAATGGAAAATATAGAACAAATCTAATGCTGAATAACAACTAAAACTAGAACTAACACTAGACCTAGAACTAGAAACACTTCAAAAAACTTCAATCAAACATATACAACAATCTAGCACTGAATAACAACTAAAACTAGAACTACCGTCCTTGATACAATCTACATCGTATAGACAACTCGAGGAATATCCAGTGATCTAGTAGAATTTTTCAATAAAATGGAAGATATGATTGTAAAATTATCATCGTTATAATTGAAGTACAAATTACTACTGATGGGAGATTTAAATATAAATTTGCATTACTGCAACAACAAGAATAACGAAACGGAATAGCACACTTATAGATAACATTTATGTTAACTTATAACAGTGAAGTATTAGTATCAGCTCTTTCGGACCATGATGCTCAAAAAATAACTTTTCCTGCAACGGACCATCGCGATAACCGAGAAACTAAAATTATAAATAAACGCGTTTTTAGTAAAAAGATCTTACAAGAAATTCACGCTGAAATAAAAATGAATGATTGGACTACGATAATGAGCCAAGAAAATACTGAAGAGTCATATAACGAGTTATTAGGAGTTATAAATAGCTCAATTACTAAAAAGACCAACCATAAAGTAATTAGAAATAAGTACTGATGGAACGGACAGTGATTTTACGAAAAGCCAGATATTCGGCATCTCCTTTGGCTGGATATCCGGTTATCCGGGTTATCTATCCGGCCATTATGGTTATAATTTGTAGTGAATTTCTGAAATGATACTCTATATTGCCACATTATTGCGATATTTGAATAAAAATGAAATTAATAAGAAAGCTGATAACATATGTCAACTTATTTAGATCCAAGATACAAACTTTTTTGATGCTGATTTAACTAACGAAGCAACTCTAAAAAAGGACACTTTAATTAATAATTGGTGATATTTCCACAAGGATCCTTCAAGAAATTAATTTTATAGCGAATTTTGAAAATTATCGATGAAAATTGCAACATCGAAAATTTTTTCAAAACTTCAAATATTATTTTCTCAAAAACTAAAAGTTATTTTTCAAAACGTGTTGGTTCATTGGAAAGAGGACACTTTTATTAAAATTTTGGGAAATTTTCATACTCATATTCCAAGAAATCGATTTTATACGAATTTTTAAAACTTAATCCGCGAAAATTGCAAAATTCGAAAAAATTGTCTATCATTTCAAAAATTTATTTCTCAAGAACTAAAAGTGATTTTTCAAAACAGGTTTTCGCATTAAAAAGAGGATACTATAATTAATAATTGGTGATATTTCCACGAGTATCCTTTAAGAAATTAATTTTATAGCGAATTTTGAAAATTATCGATGAAAATTGTAACATCGAGAATTTTCTCAAAACTTCAAATATTGTTTTCTCAAAAACTAAAAGTTGTTTTTCAAAACGTGTTGATTAATTGGAAAGGGGACACTTTTATTAACACTTTGAGAAACTTTCAAATTTATATTTCAAGAAATGGATTTTATACGAATTTTTAAAACCTAATCGGCGAAAATGGTAAAAATGGCCAAAGCCGGATAATTAGATAACTATCCGGTTTCCGGCCGGATTTTAAAAAATGTCCGGATAGGCTGGATACCGGATAGTTCCCGGATATCCGTTCCACTATTAGAAATAAGTATAGTTTGGAGAATAAAAGATGGTTAACCAAAGATACAATATATAAGACATCTATAAAGCGCCAATTATACGAAGGTAAAGTTGACAGAAACTATTATAATATGTACTGTTAACACATACGTAATGAAATTGAGATTTCAAAAAGAAATATATTTTCTAGAGTGATTGACACAGCCAACAATAAAATAAAAGCCACCATGTTTTTGACTTTTCTGATAATAACAAATAATAATAACAAAGAAATTTTAAATAAAATAAATGTCTACTTTACTAATATAGCGGCTGAAAATAATATACAAACAAATATACAGAACACTGTTAATTCGAAAATAGCTATGAAAAAATCATTTGGACTCTACTTAACAGATCCCATAGAAGTAAAATCTATTATGTCTTCGAATAACACACATACGATGGGTTATGATGAAATTCCAATCTCTGTTCTAAAAAAGTGCGTTGATGAAATTGCAGAACCCTTGAGCATCGTCATAAACTGCTGTTTCAATTCAGCAATATTTCCGATGAATCTGAAAAAAACTATAATAAGACCGATTTATAAGAAAGGAAATTAATCAATTTTAGCTAATTTTTACTAATTGCAATAATTCCTAAAAGATTACAATACCAAGAACCAAATACTTAACTTATTATAATAAAAGGCAAATCTGTAACCAGAGCAATTTTCCAGTTGTTAGAACGAATTCAAACTGGAATTAATAACAACGATCTTACCAGTTGTATAATGATGGACCTAATTAATGCATTGGACAGTGTCCACCATGACATCTTATTAAAAAACTTGGAAGCTATAGGAATACGAGGACTTCCGCTGGAGTGGTTCAGATCTTACTTGTCAGAAAGAGAACAGCGGGTGTCTCGTATGATCAAACTGGTGCTGAAGTTACTTCAGACTAGACAAAAGTTCTGCGAGACGTCCCACAATGATCAATATTTTATGATCTTCCAGAAATGATAGAGGATCTACTAATCCTTTTTGCTGATGACTCCACTGTAGTATTAACTACAAAAACTGAGGAACAAATGTCAGAATTGGTTCAGCTCAATCTAGGTAAACTGCAAACTTGGTTTTCAAATAACAACTTACAAAAAACAAACGTTATAACAATAAGAAATCCTACAAAAAAAACTAATTAAATCTAAAATTCACTAGTACAAAACTTACCTGCAAGGAAGAGGTTGTGTTTCTGGGGGTTAAGATTGATCATCAGCTTTCATGGAAGCAGCATGTCAACGAAGCTATCTATTATCTTACCATGAAGATAAATAAATCGTGTCTATCGGTTTCAAAAAATACCTTAAAAGATGTT